ACATTTCTATACATCTCTCTTGTTTAAATTTTCAATCAATTTACGCAAGTGTCAGAAGGAAGTGTACTATCACATTTAAAACATAGCACGTAATTTCGCTGCTATTAGAGAATAAGCCACTTTTACATAGTGTGATTGAGCATCATCTGAAATAATTTTAAACCCATATATTTTATTTTATAACAATTTTATTAACTCATTTTATATGCAATTTAGGCTGTAAATATCGTAGATGACCACTAATGATACCGTAAATTCATGACGAAATAAACAAGTGTCTAAGTTTTGTTCGTGTACATATCTCAAATAATTATATTTGAAGTTGTAATTAAACTAGCATAAATTAACTACCATTAATGATCAAAATGACGTAATTATATCAATTTTTAAATATATTAATACTTAGAATCGAACTTCTCTTACAAAACATGTAAGGGAGACCAGGGTAGAACGTGGCGACGGGGCAGAACAGGGTATCGGCTTTATTTCGTCTGCAATGCGTTGCGATCTATCGGGACCGGGTGAAATACCATTAGCATACAGCACAGTGTTATGTCACGTCAGTCAGCGCCATTTTGTGGTTACAGTTTCTGAAATGATCACCCATGCTGGATTTTGCTCCTACATTTTACAATTTTTTCTCAACTTCTAGTGAAGGTAAAACCTATTCATTATTCATATCCACTTTGTTGAATGATGCATGTTACAAGGCGTTTTCTTGAAAGTCTTAAACACAATATTTGTATTTATTTTCATGATGTCATTTTTGGTGGGACAATCCTAATTTGAAAGAGTATACTCGGGGCAGAATTGGGTTGAGTAAAACGGGGTACCCGGAGAAGAGGATCAAGATGACGAGTGCCTGTATTGTGGCGATGTCCATTCGCAGTCTATTGAAAAATGGATCCGGTATTCGTCTTGCTTGAAATGGGCCCATAATTCATGTGCAGGTGTTAATAGTGACGACGATGAAGAGGTGCACATGTGTGCCGTCTGTATTAGGCATAAGTAGATTTCAAATGTATAAAGTTTCGAATATTTTACATTGTACACTAAATCACTTTTTATATCCTACGTCATATTCATTAGATAATCTGTGTCTTCTTACAACTTTTTCAAACATATATCAACCGTACCCCGTCTTCACCGGGCACGGGGCAAAATGGGGCAAGTTACATTTTTGTATAGAAATTAATATTTAAAAAACTGTAACTCTTAGAACTAAACTAATAAATCATTATAAATCGCAAATAAACAGTATATCCACACGTTTCCTCCATGTGTCTGTCTTTAACATTATCCCTTCCACATGCCTCCAAAGATTAAGTTCCCCATTCTGCCCTGGTCTCCTCTACATCCATAACCTGAACGGGAGTTGAACCCGTAATGTTAGTGATAGAATGCGGAGTGGGCGATCATCTGTATGTAAAATTAATTTACCCGTGCCATACATACCGATCCACTTATTCTTTTACTTCGTCATTTAACATCGTTAACCTAAGAACTAACTCGGCCACGCGACCCCGAAGAAAAGAAGGAATTTTGTTGACAGAAATCGTTATCCTTACTCTGTCTGCTGGGAACTGAAGAGTTGGTGCCCGAAGATAGAGGCAGTCAGTTCATTTCTTTGGAGCATTGATATCTACCTATAAATCCACATGGCGTTACTTCTGTGAAGACCAGTATCGATATTTGCACCGATGTGAGAACCACTTTGAAGCGATAATTATTTTAAAAGCGTTTCTATTCTGTTAAACAATGCGCTATATAGCTTATGAGCTGCCATTATGTATTCAGTGTCTTGCTTTACAGTCAAAGATTGAGTAGATAAACTTTTTGATAATACTGAATAAAAAATCTGCTCTACCAGTGTTCAGAAATTGTCAGCTAAATTTCTGCTTCACCTTTATACTCTGCTTAGTGTGTTAGGCCCCTCTGTGGGTTTGTTCATACATTAACCCCATGGAGCGGATTACGTTTTTAGAAGCTGATAGTCACTAAGCTGTTAAAAATATGTCCGTCTTTCCTGTAAACCGAGGGTTCAATACTGAATTCTAAAAGTTATTGACGATGGTGCGTTGTTGAAGTAATGAGTTTTCTTTTGGATATTTTCCATCGTATAATAAATAAAATCACAAAATCCACCACGTTTCGGAGATGGGATTCTATCTCCGTCTTCAGGTAGACGTACTCAGTTGGGCTTAATCAATAGAGCTAATCCCTAATTCAGGAGAAGGGATTTTATTTATTAAACGATGGAAAATGTTCAGTACTGTCTTCATAAGATACGTCACATAATCCATTTCTTAGACAGATTAATCTAATTACTACGAAATATTCTTATGAGTCACGATTATTATCAAAGTTGTTTTCAATTCAAGACATTTACTTCAGATTGAAATTTGAATGTTTAGGATTGATACCCCTGGTGAGACGACAAGGCAGCACGAAGTTACTGTTTGGAAATTAAACAAGACCCCTTGCTGGCTGCTGCATAGTCATTATAACAGGGAGATGATATCCATCTTCACATCTATACTTTATAACGTGGAGGTACGGCCGGACATAAATTGCTTGCAATGAACATTGCATCTAATTTTATGTACATGGAAGTTTTAATATGCTGTTGAATGTAAATACTGTTTGGATGGGGTTGTGGCGTATGTCTCAATATTTATCTGTACCTTACATTGAATAACAGAAGTTTACTTATTTTGTATGCAGAATGTACCTGCTGTGAATAGTGATTTTCATTGTACGAGTATGTAAATATTCGTCTATGGGTGCAAATGGGGTCTCATCAAATGCTAATAGCCAGTGTGTGTAAGACGTCGACAGAAATCGAAGCCCAACTTGTTAGGTACGTAATTTCATGTTGTGCGCGAGTCATGTCGCCTTGTTCACCGCCGTATCCTATGGAAATTTAACGTTTTTCTTAAAACTTCCACAAAAATCCTCGAGTTTACTTTCAAAAGTGTCTTCATTATTCTTTACGCGATGACATGCACGTGGCTGGCTTTTGGGATGTTGTGCCTTGTAGTCTGTTAGAATTTTACCGACGTTTCAGATGTGTTTGCTTCCTCCGTCATCAAGGTAACATGATACCAAATAGATTTGAAGTATTCCATCTTTAAACAGTTATCCCTATAAACTGTCAATTTTATTGCTGTTGGTTTTATTATCCGCGACATTTCTTCCCGACTTTTCACAAGCATTGACGGTACAATTGTTTTCACAGTTTAACGACAGCATATTTGTTGTCTGAATCAGTTGTTCGCTTTCAGTTGCGTGAATAATGCCCACGGCCGCTCCTAATTGTTCCTTTTGTATATTGATTGTCATAGAACCCTCTCTCGTATCACTGATGGGTGTAAGGGTGTGCTAACAGACGCGAAACACATTGCGCCACGACTACAGCAGGCGACATTATTCTGCAAACTACCCTTCATATCAATTCAAGTCCTCGGTCTTGAAGTAATAAAACTATTAGAGTTTCAATATTTACTACGAGTAAATAGGAAAGGCATAAATATTGAATAAGTTCTGATTAATTATGTGGTACTGTAGTATTTTAAATATACTTATGCTTTTTTTTAAATTTCACGACATGCACTCATGACACAGATTATGTCTCATCCATCCTCATGTTTCATACCGACAGATGGACTGATTTCTATTAAATTTCTTATGCAGATCAATACCAAGATTTGTTGAATGAATTTAATGTTTGTTTAATTCCGTAGAATATTACGTTAAATTTATATGAAGTTCAAACAGAACTTCATAAATTGTCTCATTCTACAAAAAATGTGACTTATGAATATAGCCTAAGGTTCCATTATGAATTATATGTATTGTTTGAAGATTGTTTTGCCTAAGCTATATAAGGATTAGAAAGGAAGCAGACTTTGACTTTGTGCTATGTTATTAGCTTGGAACAAGAGAAGTTTTCCGTAAGTCAAGATTATTTAACCTTACAGCGATTCCGTACTGAAGGGACCATTTTAAAATAATAATTTACACCAAACACTGGAGTGAAAATGTTGAAGGACCTACACATTGTACCTTTCCCGTGTTTGCTTCGTCGCCCGCAAATATCACTTGATCGCTTTATCATTATTTGAAATAAAGTAAGCTTACAGATTACATGATTCCTGATTTTGAAATAACGACTCGCCAATAAATTAGGCAATTTTACGGTTACTAATTTAGCAGAATGAACATTAAAGGCAAATTGTTTCGTAATTATAATTTAGGCCATGTTAAACACGTACGACATTGAATCAGTATGTACATTATTATATTATCTAATTTTCTCTAAAGAAAATTGGGCTAAAATTAAATGTCTAAGTTAAATGAATTTTAAACTTGAAAATAAGTAAGAATATTAGTACAGAAACGTAACAATTATATAGATTTATTCAATTCAATTCATTTATAAAACAAAAGTAACGGAATATTATGTTTTAATTTGATGGAAAAGGCAATTCTATCATAATCACGTCAGTCGTGGCCGATTGTAGTCCTATGAATATAGACTAATACTGGAAACTAATCGAAAAGGCCCATTGAATTTGTCCATAATTAAGCGAGGAAGAACCTGTCACTGTCTTTCTTCTAGATTATAAAAATGAAATAATGTGGGAAGTATGCTAAGTGATATTGAACACAACACACATTATAATTGTATAAAACGTCTGTATTTATAATAATATAATTTCACTGGAAAAATACAAAAACACTAAGGCACTGTACATACATAAACACACAAAAAACCTTGCTCGATTTCTTTGAAAGTAAATTACTACTTTTAAACGAGCTTCCAGTAAAGTACTTGGGGTTCTTTGCCCCTTTGTGACTAGCTTCCAAAATGGCAAATCTGTATGGCCAGTTAGCCAACACCTTTGCATATCATAAAATAGGATTTTTATTGTTTTATATAAAAAAGAAGAGTTGTACAGGAAATAAAGTTATAGGATACAAAAAGTCATACAGCAAAATAGGTGCAATTTGGCACTTCGGTGCTGCAACCACTCTGTGTTATATTCTATAATAATACATAAAATAGATTACATAATCACTTTATTTGAGAACAAGTCGACTTAATCCTACACGGTTCTCTCATTTGCTCAGAAACACTCTCAGGGTTACAAAAGTGATAATTACAAAAATAAGAATTATTTCAAGTATGAATTAGGCCCCTTTAAGATTATTTTGTACTTTAACAACGGACATATGAACGCATGAGGAAGTTTTTGTCTTTTGTTTAAATCTACTTCTTGTTGTACAGAAGTATACAATTATTATCAGTCTTTTTTTAAGGTTTTTGTTAGGCTACAAGACGAACCTAATCAGAAAGGCACTTGACATTGAGTGGTTCCCTCTACATACTTCCTATACACGTGACTGTCATCGCCCAAGCCCACCCATCCACTGTCGTCTTACAGACTATTAATCTTGATTGGTACGAACAATGTTCCATCAGCATTAACATCATTCTCCCATTGTCTATCATGTGGGACATAACAGGAAAGACAATCCTCACATGCAACCCGCCCTTCCTTAGCTCTGAAATTATAGGCACTTGTTCATTATAAATAACAAAATTTTAATATTTAAAACCGGCATGTTTATAACATATAACTTATTTCAGATTTTCAATACTGATATGTGGTGTAATGCGAGTTGATGGCAGCCAATTTGTACAGGTTCTGCCTATAGGGGCGTCACCATCAATTATAAGGCACGCCAATATCCAGAAGATGACGTCATCAAGGTCTGTAGAGAATAAGGACTAGTTCCTTCATGAATAACCACTTGGCTCACGAACCAGAAGCTTCAACAAATACACATTACAGAAAAGAAGCAAAATGTTTTACAAAGAAAGCAGGAGAGGAGGGTTTGGCTTCATCGCCACTGCTACCGTCTCGTTGAGCGCTAGGGCTGAGCGTCGACTGGGAGACGCCAACGGCGGTTGTGTTCGTACCAGGGCAACCACCATCCATGTGTTTGGTGAGCAGCGACATTCGGGAGAAGGTCTTGCTGCAGGTACTGCAGGAATACTTCTTGATGTCTGAGTGCGTCTGCAGATGCGCCCTCAGGTTAGAGCGATCGGCGAACGCGCGGTTGCAGTGCGGGCAAGAGAAGGGCTTCTCGCCCGTGTGAGTGCGGATATGACCCTGGAGTAACCAGGGCCGCGAGAACGCCTTGCCACACAGCTTACACTTGCAGGGTAGCGTGTGCGTGCGAATGTGCATCTTTAGCGCGCCAAGAGACACGTAAACCTTCTCGCAATACTTGCAGCTGAATGACTTCTTGGTTTCCGAGCCGGCTGTCGCTGCGCAATGGAACTGCTGGTGTTTGGAGAGCCCTGAGTATGTCGAGTATGATTTGGAGCAGTCGGGACACTGATATCGCGGAACTGTTCCCTCCTTCCTCTTCTTGCCGCTACCGGTGCTTCCGGTACTGCTACTACCGCTGCTGACACTCCCGGGTGACGACAGGTCCTCCGGGGTGGCAGGCGGTGGCGACAGGGATTGGAATGCAGTATTTGAAGAAGAGGATGCGACTGAGGATGTTGGTGAGAGGCCGCAGTGGTCCGCTGCTTGATAAGGCATGTACAGTTTGGGTAGCTCGGACGCCGCCTGGTGCTGTCGATGGGGGAGAGACGCCACGGCGGAAAGTGGTGGTCTCAAAGTTGCGGACGTGAACATGTGGTGGGGTGGCGAGTTGGTGGAGTCCCGTGGCGCGTACGGCGACAGCTGCTGCTCTTGGTGGTGATGAGGGTGTGTGTGTCCCATCAGAGGACTGCTGCGGGCCGGTGATACTGGGTACACTGAAGGCGTGTACTGGTGGTGACTGCTGTACATCTCGGCGGGCGGGGGGTATGGGTAATTGAATGTCAGGTATGGCGGTGGGAAGTGTGGGACGACACCTCGGTGCCATGACGTTGGCGACGAGGCGTAGTGGTGGTGATGGGATTCAACCGGCGTGTTGAGATTCAGTGGCTCCAGGGGTCCACCTGACGCTTTACCCAAGTAGTGCGGGTGGTGATGTGGTGATGTGATTGCCCCGTGATTCAGTGACGTAGCAGCTGACGTCACTGTATCGGGTCGCTCGGAGAGAGGGTTCCTTTTGGTCGTAATGAGCGCTACCCCGGGGGGCGGGGTAATGGCCTTGTGAGGGTAGTGGTGCTGACTGGCCGTCAGGCTCAAATCTTCCGGCTTCGTGCTCAGATTCTCGGGCTCCGAGTTATCGTCGGCCACATCTGCAACACGGGAAAGAAATTGCACTGTTAAATCTCTAATAAACAAGCCAACCAATACTTATTCAGAAGCCGATAATTATCTTTGTTGGTTAAGAATTTCCCCCGTTTATATGGCACTCGAAGGTTAATTATCGTATTCCGAGAGATACTTATAGTCGGTTAAATCTGGTCCCTAAGTGGTCCCCTCGATTCTGATTTTCCGATTAACGTTCTTAACAAGCCTCCCTTTCACTTTCATAGATGTCAACACTGTCTCATTTGTTTTTAATTGCGCGATTTGAGGACGGGAGCGAACACCATCACGAATCTAAATTTATTTACCAAGGAAAAATGTTCGGGCCGATAATAATTACTTCCAATTCCGCAGAATAATAAACTTAAGACGTATTTCACGTTTCCCATAGTTGGTCACATTTCGGGCCTCGGTGCGGTACACAGCATAGAACATCGTGCACAACTGTTTAGCACTCCTGCTTCATGAAGTCCTCGTTTGAAATCTCGATTAGATACCGGCTATTCTGGCTGGGATATTTCGCGGCTTTCCTCAGTCTCTCCTTAAACTGGGCCGCAACCGCTTTCTTCAATATCCTTTCCAATTTACCGTTCAGTACAACAATAATCTTTCGCAATACATCTTCAACTACCGATAACGTCGTTAAATAAACCAAGAATAAGTAAATTGCGAACTGCCCTCACTTTTATGTGTTTACTCCTGGCCTGGTTTTTATTTATTTACTCATATTATAAGAATTAATCTCATTAAATAAAATTAATTTCAAGATATCAAGCTTAGATATCGTACTGATTTGGATGTTTATAAACAGATTGATATGACGTAATGCCTTAAAATGCGATAGAAAATGAGAGCGGATTTGCTGCTTCCTGTTACCAGCTCTGCTGTGGCTCGTTGAGAGATATCAATGCGCTATTAGAAATTTACGTTGAACTACTTAGACCAGTGTACTTAGTGAAAGAAGTTGTAGATACACAACAAATTTCCCTCCTGTTCTTTCTTGTTATTTACCACTTAGGTCTATTAATTTTTAGCGATTTTTAAATAAAACCGTCAGTCGTAATAGGGTCTAGTATAGAAACTTTCACAATTAGTGCAACGCCTCCAAAAAGGTTGAATACATAACTGAAAATGTTCATATGTAATCGCATCCGATGAGTTTGCTGCATTGACAATTTCGTTCTAGTTCCGTCCAGGGTTGGCCTGACCTCCGCTCTACTCTCAGAATACCGTCACGTAGTGGGTGTAGTCCGCAGAATACAGGACACGAACATACTATGAAGGTATTCAATTTTGATGTAGGCATATAACAATTCACTTAGACGCCGTATTACATAAAGACAACAATTTTTTCTTCCCATATAGTCTTATATAATACATAATTTACAATCTGCAAACCTCCACTTTCCACAAATCAGCCATCAATCATAGAAAACAATCGAAATAATTGATAGGCCCTGCAACTTCCATTTTATAAAGCAGTGTAACTCCTAAACTATTGACATTAAACCCAATTAAATTCCCGCTTCAAGGACCTTTAATACAAAAGTGTTCTACCTTATAATTTGTTTTGATTTACATTACCGCCAGATTATACAGCAATCATACTTATAGAGTTAAACAACATCTGATGGAAAAATCAAATAAGTAAGACTTTAATTAAGAACCCTTTGGAGCCGAATAACTTCTAATAATCTAATCCGTACTTCAAGGGTAATGTACCACTTTCTATTATAAAGACCAAATTAATTTGTTTTTGCTGTTTTTTTTAAAAATAATCCCTGTTTACAGTAAGAATCACATGAAACACATAAATACAAATTTCTGAATGATTGTGAAAGCAGGCGGTGCATACAGTTACCACTTGGTTTTAAATGATCTACAAAATACGAAAGCAAAAAATCTAAACATCTCGTACTGTTATAACCTAAAAGCCACACCATCGAGAGGTACCTCGTGACCTTGACATTCTTTTACATTGCGCGCTACAAGGAGTGCATGGGATATAACCTATTTGCCGTTCAGAACTGTTCCAACGGACTTTCCATTTTGACTGTTACAAAATTTTAATGTCGTTATATATAATTACTGAAACTTAAAATTACATTACTTAATACTCGCTTTCATTATTGTCGGAATGCAGTGTCAAATTTTGAGTACTTACAAGACACCAATTTTTGTTTATTTTCTGATAAAACGTTTGAGCGAGTCGTGATTTTGCATAATCCTTGAGATATTTTAAGGAAATTATGGGTTACCAATCTCATAATTCACATCGCATAATTTGATATTAACAATGTTCAATTTTCACATGTATCTGCTTTCATTTTAGTTCAAAGCGTAAGGTAATTGAAAAATGGACTCAGCATGATTACAATCAGTATACTGTTAGTAAATCCTACAATATATTACATAATAACACCAGTCCCTATGTCACAACATTAAAAACACACAAACAGCAGGTGGACGAAGCTGTATTGTACTAAAATGTATGCCAAATAAATCGTTTCCATCCACTCGATCGTGATTTAGATGGTGAAAGTTTACAGTAGCGATCCTAAGCAAGGTTTTACAGTCACCATATGTGACTCATGAAAGTTCAAAGTAACAAATTTGAATGTATTAATACTTTTAAAGCTGGTTTTACATAAAATACTAACATTTTTATACAGGCCCAGACTACGTATTAAATACAACTGTTCCATTTCAATTTTTTTAAACTGATAATGCAACGAAACAGTTTAAGAAGAAATCTCTGGAAAACCTGTTAGTCTACACCGGCTTACATTAAACCATGTTTTAATCTATTAAGATCTTTTATTGCTAGTTTAGAATCTTGTAACAGTTCGTGTTAATTGTACATTTATATTTAATACGCCCATCATGAAGTTAACAGCGTGCTAAATTAGAGTTAATTGTTATGACGCAAAACAGCATACACGTTCTTCGTCTGTGAATAATGGCTACCTGCCAGGAACGATTTTAACAACATTTAGTTTCCAGTAGAGTCTCTATTAACCTCCCTAGCCTCCAGAATATTACGAAGATAATCACCTCTTACGGACAAATCAGTATGAAACACCAGACATTTAAACCTTTCCGAACGCTCCCAAATCTTCTTTCCTTTTTGGCTGAGAATATATTTATTTTTCTATCCTATCTGAGCTCATCTTGCCAGCCTGTTCTTTCTAATATCTTTGACGTCATTCTATAAACTCTATTCGTGAAAATTTAGTTGTCGTAATTAATTTCTTCGTTTATTTTACGGTCCGAATCAGTTCCTCGTGTCGACGTTGGTCTAGTCATCGGTGTCATATTTTCGCGTTCTTATACCCGTAGGGAGAAATATTAAATTGAAAGAACAAGTGTCTTCAAGACCAACAGTTTAGTTCTGTCTGTGAAATAACTGAAGGTAATTAAATGTTCCACCAGTTGGTTGCTATCCAAAGAAAGATAAAAACGTCATTTTCAAATTAGGCCTATTCTAAGAAAATTTAAATTTGTAAATGTCGTAACCTAACAATGAGCATAATCAGCGTTGTTTTCCGAACGATAATAACACAGTGAACAGAGAAGAAATAACTGTAAAATTCGAAATACGCAACAATAGAGCGTCATCCAACGGTTTATTATTTGTTTGATAACAACAATGAAAAAATCGATAAGCCATATTTCTAACAATTTCATTGATTTAAATAAAAAAAACACGTTACATTCCAGAACTTCAGATTTCATGACATATATTTAATGTGTTATCTTCCGTGCCAGTAGCAAGCGTCGCCATATGTTTCGCTTACCTTTGTCTTCCTCATCTTGTGGTTCCTTGTAGAGTGGTACAGGCCTTTTTTTCAGAGGGCAGTTGCTATAATTATTCTTCTTAATCAAAAAAGATCGTGGCATTATCACAGTTTCACTCACACACAAACACAGGAGGGATACGGTATATCCAAAGTTCTTCCACCTCAAATTCGTATTTCGGTCCACTTACAGTTCTCGGTAGCCACTATGTTCTTTTGTCATTAAAATTAACTGTTATGTCTTCGCTACATTGATTAAGCCGACGTTCCAACACTGACACATTCAACGGTCGTAAAGCGAGGAGCTGATACTTCCACGTCTGTCTCGCTCTGCTTCCAAGTTCTGTCTGAGAGCAGTAGCTGATGGAGACTCTCCAAGTACACTCGCTCACTCCCGCCACTTCTAGCAGCTGCTGCATGCTACATCAGGTGCAACCCACACCAGCACGTGCTCGACAGCCAATCACAAGTAAGGACTTGGAAAGTTTAGGAGCCAATCCGATATGGATAAGTTCGGTTGTTGCCCAGTAGGGTGCCGCACTGCCGTTCTAGGGGAGGGCTCATGTTTTATGTACAGTTGAATGGGGGGGAATATGAACAGGTGTGGGCCTTACCGTATGTGGGGAATGAGGAACTGTTTTGTGACTGTTCTGGATACTGGCTCGTTTGTATGTAAAAGGGCTCAACAAACAGCTGACGGAAAATTAATTCAATTATCAGTTAACAACAGCATAATGCAGAAAAGAAATGAAGTCGTATGTATCATGAACAGACTGTCGGTTAATTATGTTGTTCGCTAGTAAAAAATAGTTGCAGACTTCAAACGGCCATCCTGTCGACTGAAATGTTATATCGGCCAAAGACCTTGTGTCCCATTTTTTTGAATAAATTACCCTGAATTGCAAATCGATATTTTAAGCTCGTTGCTCGGATTTGCAGAATTAGCCCGTCGAATAGATAAAGATGAAAAGTTCGGAAGCGATATATTTATAGGCCCATAATCACGGGCATCGTGTGTTAGCCTTGTAGCTTCCATCTTGATTTCATCCTAAGTTTGCCTATTATCTACGAATAAGAACAAATAGTAACAGCAATTTATTATTTGCTTTTTAGAATTCTATCTGTTGTTGCCTATTATCTACGAATAAGAACAAACAGTAACAGCAATTTATTATTTGTTTTTTAGAATTCTATCTGTTTCCCCGTGTTTTCGGGAATGGTTTCTGAGTGGGTTTAAAAAATACCCTATTTAATTTAGGCTACAAACCAGCTTCTCATCATGTCCTTGTTAATTGTAGGCTTACAGGTTTCTAACTTATATATTGCAAGAAATTTTATGATAAAGTATGCAGGCCTTTGTCAAATCCACATGTTGATCTTTATCAGATCCTAAATCGTCACTCAAGAAGTATAATTTAATATTTTACCAGCACTGTTCAGAAAAGTGGATGACGGTCTATAGTCTGCATAAATAGCAAACGTCTTAATCAGGTAGAAGACCTGCTAACTGTGGGCCTACTGAAATCAATGCTATTTGATACCCTGTGCTACTCTGAGCAGCACTCCATGATTTGAGAAATATTGACTTGCTCTGCCTACGGAACCACGAGAAGTGATTTGAAAAGGAACAAATAGAAGCTACAGATTAATAGGCCATGTTTCTATATGCAAACACTGGAGAGGTATTAGTCACAACGTATAGTAGGCTTTAGTCAGCCACCATATGTGTTAGTGTGGCTTAAGTACCTTTTCCTATTGATATCCAAATTCAAAGGGACGAGACCCCATTCAGTTTGCATTCATATAGACCACGTACCCGCATATGAGGATCTCCTTGACCACGCCCCAACATACATTAAACTTTCTTTCCATTTTTTGATAATGAAGCAGTGAACTATTCATAACAACCGTGAGAATCGATTTCGATTGTCGTTCCTTGCCACACAAACAATTTTATGTTATTATTAATACATTCACTTCATATATTGTAATGTGGGTATCAAAATTATCTTGTGATAGATCATCATCATCATCTACCTGTCAAGGATTTTGAGCCTTGTGACCCGTTGGGCCTCAGTCATCCAGGAATCTTTTCAAAGGGCGTCCTTCGTTCCTTTTTCCTATTGGTTTATGTTTCAAATTTGATGTGGCAATCTGTCCTTGTCCAGTCTTCGTACATGTTGGATCCAGTTCCTTCTGAATCTGTGGATTTTTTCCAATATTGGCTCTGTTCGTAGTTCTTTGTGGAGGACGTCATTTCTTTCATGATCTCTCCGTGTGTATTTGGCTGTTTTTCTTAAAAACTTCATCTCTGCTGTTGCAATTCTTGATTTGTCGCGTTGTTTCATTATCCAGCTTTCGTATCCGTAAAGAAGTGTAAGTATGCCCAAGGTTTTATATATTTTCAATCTAATTTGTGTTGGGGTTTAAGACTGTTTAAAGATTCGATTAATGATAATATTTAGATAATTTTGCTGGAAGATCTTTTTCTGTTTCATACGATACTGTAAATCCCAGATAGTTAAATGTGTTAATTTGTTGTATGATCGTGTTATTTATTCCTATCTTGGATCTGATAGGATCTTGTCCTTTGAATGCCATGGTTTTGGTCTTGTCTGTAGACAACTTTAAATTATATTTCGAAGCAACAGTTACTAATTTATGTACAGATTTCATAGATACTTATATAAAATCTTGCATACAAACAAAAACTGTTTACACTTTGAAAAGACACTTAGTGTCATAGGAAATAAGTAATCCTAAAAGTAGGCTAAATCAAATTATAGCGTATAACGAGAAGACTGCCACCAAATACCATTCAGGTGACGTTTGAAGGTTTCTAATGACAATGCGTTAAATAATGTTAATTTGCTCGTTTGTCGTATAAATTCGTCTAAGTGACCTCCAGGTCTGAGGCCAGCTAACAAACTAAGTAGTTAATCAGTTAGGTTTTAAGTTCACCCTCCACTGACTTTTACCTGATGACGAAAGCAAACACAACTTTCGAGAAATTGTAATTATATAATTTAGACTTTGGACAAAGTTCAAAAGCTCAATGTGATTAAGTCAAGTGGTATGAGATGGGAGAGGTGAGAAATACATATAAAATTTTATCCGGAAAGGTATGAAGGTTTTTTCAGGATCCATCAGGTTCAGATTTTATATAATACATGTAAATAAATCTTCATGTTACATAACAGACGGAAAATTTTTGCCTAGCTGAGCGTATCCTGTTCTCACGAATGATTATGTTTAATGGTGATACGTAACTATTCGGATGTCGTGTTTTTCTTTTCATTTTTGTTTTATCTATCGTCGAAGTGTTATTAAAACAACAACGTTTCGGAAGTTGGTCCTACTTCCGTCGTGAAACGACAGGAGAACAAAATCAAAATTTGTTGAGTCCCCTAATCGAGCCTTTGAAATGTTCTGGTTATTTTTTTAAACACACTAGGTCATGAATAAAGTCCAAAAGTAAAAGAAACATTTCTACACAGTGCGTCGCAACCATTGTCAGAATCCATCAAACTTCGATCATGATCGATATCTTTTCACTGGTTAATAATTCGACGTCAGATTTAAGATAAATTGGCGTATAATCGTATTAGACAGTTAAAGTAGATAAGCTTACGAGCAGCATAAATTGGTAACCTTCTGTTTTCAAACTCTGCTTACGATTTTAACTCTAATTGCGTGGTCTAAGTCATGTTCTGTCGTAGTATTTACTGGTTATGTGTCGGTAAGTTGTCCTAGCGAAACAAAGTCAGGTAAGACTCTCAGGGGTTATAAGTAGTCAGGGGTGGTTGAAAGTAGGGGCTGAAAGGCGGAGAGGGGGCATGAGCACCAAAATTTAAAAAAAAGATGCCTATATAGATCACAGCGTGCTTCCATGGGAGATAAAACATTCTGCGCAGTCTACGATCGTAATAAGAGAGGGGTGGACTTCCAGTTTTTCACCAGGTTGTGCAACATGACGCAACGGTCGCAATAAGAGCAGGGGCAGAGAGAGAGAGAGAGAGAGAGAGAGAGAGAGAGAGGGCGAGTTTGATACCAAAAAAGGTGCAAAGCAGATGTCACGTGTCAGGACTTGGAGGACCTAAATGTACCCTTCCTTTCTGTTGATCCTATTTCTAGAATGTTCACGAGGACACAGCTGAAAGCTGACAATTAACTGTTAACTTCACATGTACTTGGGGACAAAATTTTAAAGAGTGCGCCTGTGCGGTGTGTATGACGAAGCGGAATGATGTTTTTACAGAAAATATTACTTATTCATTTATGAATTTCATACTATTGGTTGTCATATAAAATGTTAAAGTAGGGATTTGAAAGAGACCAGCTAATTTTAAAACTTATTGTGCAACGATAAGCTTATCGATGTGATATGAGGAAAACAGTGAATTCATGCATCACTGAACGCGGTGAAAAAATCCAAAATTTAATACAGCATTGTTTTTTGTTTTCTGATTTCAATATAATTTATTTTTTGACAAATGTAAAATGTTTTAGAAACTGATTGCGTCATTTTGCTATCAACCTGTATATAACGATTCGAAATCAAACACACGCAAATGTATCTGGCACTCGTGTTTTGTAAGCATGACTGTAATCAATCGAAAGGAGCAATGTGAGGCCTTCACCGACAGATTCCATTAGTACATCGAGAAGAAAACGTGGTACTTACCTTGTTATCGGAACCTATCTATTATTGATGAAATCTAGGAGGATGAGATTGACAGGCATGTAGCCCACGAGGGACACATCAGAAATTAATGTCTTCAAAATTTTAGTCTGAGATCTTTAAGTGGTGAGTTGGTAGACCTTGTCATGTATGGTAGTAAAATGTTAAAATGAATCTTTAAAAAATAGAATGTTAGGATGTGGACTGTATTAATTTAGCTCAGGATAAGGTTCAGTGGCTGTTGCGTGCATGGTGATTAGTCGTCATGTTATATAGAGATGGTGGTTTTCTACCTCCATTTTGTGACTACAGTTCCTTAAGATGGATTCTGCTCCATGGAGCTAGTCTTTCCAACTCGATCACAATTTTGACCAAATAATTAGTCTATAAATTAAACAAATTTAGATTTTCCATATTTTTTTCGTGGCAACATAAGTATTCATATTCTTACAAGCTTACCATTGGATAAACGTGCGATTTATGATTATCCTATACTAGGCCATTCTGTCACACATTTTATAATAGAAGTAATATTGATGTCCTTCTTTCAGTCCTGGGCTGAGGCATTAGAGATTTCAGTAACCAGTCACTAATTACGTTATCATGACTGCTATGAAAGTATCTAACCGTCACGAATATACAACGTACGTAGGTCGAGAATGAAAGGTAATAGTCATTCTCAGATGCTTGAATAGTATCGAAAATGTGCA